TTCTAGTAGCTTCTTGTTCCTAGTAGTATGGCCAGGAGCCCCTACTACAGTAGCGTCCTTGCTCCTAGTAGCGATGCCCTTTGGTCCTTGCTCCTAGTAGTAATGCTAGGAGCCCCTAGGAGCGTCCTTGCTCCTAGTAGTACGGCCAGGAGCCATTAGTAGCGTCCTTGCTCCTAGTAGTACGGCCAAGAGCCCCTAGTAGCGTCCTTGCCCCTAGTAGCGATGCCCTTGTTACTAGTAGCTTCTTGTTCCTAGTAGCTATGCCCTTTGTTCCTAGTAGGGTCCTTGCTCCTAGTAGCAATGCCAGGAGCCCCTAGTAGCGTCCTTGCTCCTAATAGTGATGCCCTTTGTTACTAGTAGCGTCCTTGCTCCTAGTAGTAGTGCCAGGAGCCCCTAGTAACGTCCTTGCTCCTAGTAGCGATGCCCTTTGTTACTAGCTTCTTTCTTGGGGGGGGGTCGGGATGGTTAAGGAACTCCTACCAGGCACAGGTTTTCTGGAGCCTAGGTGGTGGAAGTGTAGACATTCCCCACCATCCCACCTAGAAGTCTTTTTTCATATCAAGCTTTCTGGGTTTGTTGACGGGAGGCGCCAATGGATACATCTGCCCAAGCTACTGTAAGCATCTTGCGGCTTCTCCACCCCCAGCGCTCCCTATGTGCAATAGGTAAAGTGTCTCGACGAACTGTGGCACTATTCCGGCCTGAACCTCAACGGACAAAATGCGCTTCGTGACAAAGATCAAATGGCAGCCGCCATCGGCCATGCCCAAGCGAGAGAGTCTAGCTGTCTCTGGGCATGGGGTAAAGTGGCCCAACAAAACCTGGACTGTGCCAATAGCAGAAGACAGCCCCGGCTGACAGGGTCTACTTTTTCGACTATACCAACCATCGTTTTGGGGAACCTGAAGTCTTCAAGACATCCATGAAGCCATTTAAAGGAAGAGTCAAAAAGTTAAAAAGCCACTGTACAATTTGATATCTATCACATGGTCATCAGCCAACCGTTCGCTTCTCTGATTTCAGCTCCCTTTTTCTCCGTCCTCCAAAGAAGCCAAGCTCTGTATGCTGGCGCCCTCTCGTTGCCAAAGCTCGCTATCCACTGCCAGTGCCAAGCTTCCCTCGAGCGCCGCCTCGGCCTCCGCCCGCGCCTCCGCACCGCACGCGGCCAGAAGCCTCAAACGCACTTCGGCCACGGTGTCGCAGCTGCGGACCGTCACTTGGCCTCGGAGGGAAAACACGTGCTTTCTGTTACTAGCAACAAGGACGCTATTAGGTGGAGGCCATCGCGATGGCCTCCAACCTAGTACTTAGTAGCGATGGCCTCCACCTAGTAGTTTCTTGTTCCTAATAGTGATGGCCAGCATGCGAATTGCTCTAATTGTTTTATGATGGTTTTTAACAAAGGCTTCCCCGTCTTAAGTAGATTTTCACCTTAGGCAGCAAAAAGACATCTTGTGTTTGTTCTGGATTCCAAGTGATGCAAGCAGGATCAACGTGGATGTCATGTCAGCCAAAAAATAGAGGCAATTCTTCCAAAAATATGTGTATATATATACACAGTGTATATATGTCATGCAATATCATACAATGAATGGCCTGGAAGCCCCAAGTCTGCTTCTGCTTGAGTCTTTCCTGACTGAAGTACTGCCACAGGCAACTTCAGTGGCCAGTTGCAGTATGCAGAGAGGACGACCCCATCGGCGATGGGTGCCAGTGAGAGGTCGGCATGGCGATTGATCAGCTCGGTTCCTGCGAAGAGGGATAGCTTGGAAGAGTCCGCCATGCCAAGCTTTGTGGCTGCGGCCTCATAGACCGAACTGGCTGGGCCGGTGGATGGGATATCCACAGGCATATCGAAATCACTCACGGCATCCGCACACGCTTGTTCCACGAGAAGACGGCATCCATCTTTGAAGCCCAAACTCTCCAAGGAGCTCGTCTCATCCTCGCAGGACAAATCGAAATCACCATCGAGCAGAAGTCTCATCCGTGCAGGAGAGAGGCCACAAATGCTTTGCACTGACCAGCGCAAGTCGCTAAGGCTTTGCTGCAAATTAAATGGCATGAGGCGCTCTCGGCAACCTCGAACGCATCTCGGAAGGATCAGCTTCAATGTCTCCGGCTCTTCACACATCTCTTCAGCATCGTCTTGACGCTCACGATGTCCCTGACCCTCACGCCTCTGAGAGCAGAAGTTTCACATGTCTCTCTGTTCGTGTCTAAATCTTGGTTTGCGACATCCAAATGTTCGTGGATTCTGACCAGCTATGACTGCACCATAGCTCGGCCCTGTTTTCTACCTGTTTCTCCTTCCACGATTGAGGTGTGCGTGTGAATTTGCAACCGCAGATCCTTAGACTAAAATGACTAAAGACATTCTTCCGCCCTCCCACTCTCCTCAAGAAGGCCAATGCCCCCTTGACTGCCAGGTGAAGCTGCAGTGGAGACCCTGATGCTTCTGCCGCGGCCGCCACACGGCCCATCGGAAGCTCCTCGTGTAGCCTTCGGCAGCCCAAGAGAAGGACGATCTGATCCAATGGGAACTTGGATCGGCCATGGATCAACCTAAGTGGCCCATGGTGACCCACCCACAGCCCCAAAACCGCAGCGACTGAGCTGTAGAGCACGGCACAGCCGCAAAAAAACTACAACACCTGGCGGCGAAGAAAAAAAAACCATGAATGTGATTGAAGGTGGGATTCTTTCGGCACTTTCAATTGAAGAAACACGGGATACCACATGAGAATATATCATCTTGGTTGTCAATCGGTAGAAACATATCCCACTTGACCAAGGGCCAATTTGCAGTCTAGATGTGGGGGGGTAACTTCTTTTGAGACTCTGCCTCCTCCATGCAGTGCTCGTCAACGACAACCGATGAATTCACCCTCAAACCAAATGCCGAAAGATGCCAAAAGTATACGATACAACCTTCACAGATTCAGCAGTTTTTTTTCAAGGAGCTTCTTCAGAGCAGCCACATTGCTTTTCTCCTCCAGTTCGAACTGCTCGATGACGATGGGTGGTGGCTCTGCCTCACTGCTGTTGGCTGCAGCTTTGGAGGTGGCTGTCCCTGGGAAGGCCACTCGCACCTCAAAGCGCCACCCGAACGGACTGAGGTGATCATAAGTCAAATTCTCGGTCTCCCCGACATGACCGGTTTTGGTATGTTTTTAGATTTCGATGTTTTAAAAATGATTTTTTGGTGTTGTGTGTTGTGTCCGTTTCAAATGATCCGTGCACGTCGGACATTTGGACCGAAAGACATGGGAAGAAAATGGATGAAAATCGCGAACACACTAGAAGCCGGCCATGTCTTTTGAGAGTGTGATGGGCATGCTCCATCCATCATACCATTGCATCTAAATCTCTCTGCAAACTGTCAGTAATTAAGGATTGGCTGCAACGCATGGTTAAGCTGCAAAAAAGCACACCTGCTTTATACATGGGATGATGGAAACTGCACAAAAAGAACGGCAACGCTAAATTACACCGGCATAGGCCCCAGATTGCGGGTGTATAGGTTTAAAGGACACGCCTGCCACGGACGGCGGTCACCGCAGCACGCAACACCAGACCAGCCCACCAATTTGCGCAACATATTATCAGCTGAGTGCGCCCTTTGCCTAACACACATGTGAAGCTGCAAGATCGGCAAGGACCAGCCAAAGCTGCCACACACTATGATCCTTGCTGCGCAACACGCTATCATGCGCAATCTGACAGCATGTCACCCCTGGCGTGACAAGATGTCGTCCATGGCATGACATGATGTCATCCCGGGCATGACATGATGTCATGCCTGGCATGACACGGTGTCCCCCCTGGCATGACATGATGTCATCCCTGCCATGACATGATGTCATCTCTGGCATGACATGATGTCAGGCTGAGCATGACATGATGTCATCCCTGGCAAGACATGATGTAGTTCCTGGCATGACATGTCAAGAGCCAGCACCAGCACGGCAGCAGCACCCGCAAAACGAAGCGCCGATCCAGAGCCACACTATGGAGAAGTAAGAACACCTATAGCTTGCAGCTCTGGGAAAAAAATCAAGCCTTTGTGCATCTGTCACCTTAGCCCAAATTTGTTAGTAGTTACATTCACCCAAATCAGACTTGTGCTTCCGTTTTACGCTTCGTTCGTTCTTGTGTTCGGGATTACGCTAGGAATTTTTGTGATGATGTTCAAAAGTTTCATGACATTGACCTTGACATGTTTTGGGGGTCTCGGCACCCCAGCGAGGCACGCGCCTTTGCTGGTCTGATTCGTTGTTGGAACGGACCCGCAGTGACTTGATTTCCTTTTGCGTTGGTTGTGGTATTAGGGTTTGTAAGGATTTGGTTAGACCCATGAAGGTGATGGCCTCTTAGCTTGTCTCACCAAAGACCTGCCGGCATTGCGACCGGCCACAGCGTTATGCGGACTGCTCTCCGCTGGCATCGCCGCCGAGAGCGCGCACTTGGACTCAAGTGACCGCGTGTTAGTAGTTATACATTGACTATGATTGACTGCATCTTTTCTCTACATCCTCAGGCCGCTTTTGAAGGAGGTTACCTACTGCTACACATCACAATTTTTCTGTGGCCTTGGCTGAAATCACGCTTCTTGTGACCTCAAAACGTCTAAAACGGGCTCACTCTATCAAACTTTCCCTCTAATTGCATCTCCTCCCAGACCTTGCTCTTGACTGCGAACCTACCATGCCCCGCCTGTACGTAGGACTCATGGCTCACGTGATCGAAGGAGGCTCGCAGCTGAAAAACGCCATGGTCCTCCGGAGCAGCGCTGGTCCGGTCTGGAATTTAAAGTGGTCAAAACCGTAACCAGGGTCCAGCGATGTTTCCCGTTCTGCATCAAACACCATGTCTGTTTTTGATTGACACAGGTGGTGTTTCGATTGAGCTGCTATATCATCACTCAAACAAAGGTAGTATAAAGAAGTAGTCTGTATAGATATACAACTACACTGCCACACTGCTTCAAAAAGCATGCATGAAGTTGAAGTCTTTTCATTAGACAATGCCTTGCTACTAGTAGCTTCTTGTTACTAATAGAAATGCACCTGTTACTAGTAGAGTCCTTGCTACTAGTAGCGATGCACCTTGCTACTAGTTGAAAGTATTTTCTCGTCATCTGCCTGGCCTCACGGCAGCTTTGCTCCAGAAAGCCCAACAAGCCTTGGGACGTCACGAGCTGCTTGGTGTTGTCCCATCAACGGTGCAAGTTTATCCTCTCAAGTCAGTGAACATTCCTACAACTCTCCTTAGCCATGAGCCTTTTTTCTTGAAGTGACTTACTTGCCCCCAACAAGAGCCACTACTTTACCCATGTCTGCCAGGCTTCTCTGACCAGAGACCGGCTTCACAGCGTTCTGTGGCCCACCCGGCAAACGTGGCAAGACGTTGAGGCCAATGGAGCTGGCGGGGATGCCTCGACCGCGTGAATGGGTCGAGATGAGAGAGATATATACTTTCCACAAGACAATACCATCATAGACCATCATTTGAGAGTTCAATCATCCAAAAGTATAGGGTTGGTAGTACAATCAAGGGACAACTAATTGTGTGCAAGATCTCCAAACAAGTTCTCCAGTGCATTGATGTACTCTGATTGGCCGGTTCTTTCATGTTGTTTCTGAGTTTCGGAGGGTAAGAGAGCCACTAAGAGAGCCAGCATGCGCTAGCAAAATCACTTTGAAATCCATCATTTGCTCTGTTGACCTTCATTCAATGCAAAGAAACCACCCACCCTAACACTTGGGAGTAAAAGTCTTAATTCACCCCCCGAATGCCTGCACCCCCTTTTGCACCCCGCCTGTCTGTTCGGCCAGTGCCCTCCGGAGCTCCGCGGCCTCCTCAGGACCATCGGACGCGCCGGAGGCGCGGAGCTCGGAGCACCAGAGCTGCTCGGTGCCGCAGCGGGAGTAGTGCACCACCAGGGAGGCCAAGGGTGCGGCACGGTCAGCGGCCATGGTCGCGGTGCGTTGGGCCCGTTGGGTTGGTATTTTGAAGATGGCAAGAGTCTGCTAGAGTCATTCGGGTCTTTGATAGGGAGAGATGGGGAGGAGATGAAGGATGACGGTAGGATGAACGTATTATTTAATTACTATAATTAGTCATGGAACATGCCAGTGTTCTTTCAGGATTGAAAGTGGTCCTCCTCATGTCATTGATATTCATTGATACTATGTTGTTCTTACTGCACACCGTAAGTTCCATGTTGAAATCGACTCGGTATTTTGAGCCACAGCCTTCTCTTGACCGCCTTCTCCGATGACTGAGACAGTGCCTCCTTCCCGTGCCTCCGCTCTTCTCGTCCGATCCTCTGAGCTCCCAAACACGCCAACTTGCCTGGCCAGCAGAATGTGCTCGCGTGTCTGAGGCATAGGGCCGTCGTAGCCTGAAAAAGCGAGTCTAAAAAGTGGCATCTTCCCCAGCATTGAGGCTGGAATACTGCAATATCTGCCCAAATAAATTGAACCTGAGCTGCTAAATTGCTAAATACCGTTTCAAAGGAAGAATGCACACATGCAAAATGCGAAAAAAACACGGTGGCAGATCTGCCTGAGACCACTAGGATCGCACCGTCCATCTGTGCAGCCTGTGATTTCGCTCAAATACGCTGCCACATCCATGCCCACTTGTTTAAACAGTTTGGCAAGTGGGTCAAGGCAATTGGTTCTGCACGAAAGTGATCCTGAAATACATCCTGAATTGATTTGCGAAGCATAGAAGAGCTGAAGATTGGAGCCATCTCAGTGGTCTGGATGCGGCAAAGGGACTCCTGTGATCATGTTTTTCACATAATCTGCATGCCCAGGACCTCGGCATGGCCGTGCGGCTCCTGAATCTGGGAATCAATCACTCCAGTATACATTAAGGTCCGAACAGTCAACATGGCCGTAGTGCCTCTTGTCTGTTTCGTACTCCACATGCGATTGGTTGATGGTGATGCCACCTCAAACAGTGAGCCATAGTGAGCCTATGGGTTGGTGTTCTCTTCTAATGCATTTAATGCCATAATATGTATATAGGTCTGTATTTCACAGGACATGACACTTTGGAGGGAGCTGTGAGCTTCTGGCGCTTCTTCTCTTCTGGTGCCTTGACAACAAAAGCAAGATAAACACTGTTTCACCGTGAAGACCACAACCTTGTTGCTGGCAAGAAAACGCAGAGTGATGAAGAGTGCATGACAGAATCATCGGCTGAGGCAGGGCATTGCAGCCTTGTCAATGGCGTCGTAGGCCTTGAACTCAGCTCTTCCTTCATCAGCCATGACCTGCAACATGCAAACGATCCTGTACAACCAGCTAACCAGCTGTATGCATGCATCAGCATTCTGTTTGGAGAGCCTTTGTGATGGCGGCAGTGAGGGTGGTTTTACCTGATGACAAACACGCCCAGTGCGCTGAAAGCAAAAACCGCTCTTTCGCGTGTCCAGTTTCCAAATCTGCCAGGCGTCCATGATCGACGTGGCCGATGGTTCCGATGTTCATGTGCGGTTTGGTGCGTTGGTAGACCTGGCGACGGAGCGATCGCGATTCGCAGCGCGCGGAGCGATTGGATCGCTGGATCAGGAGGCAACTCCGCCAGCGCCACGCCCACAGCAAAACTTCGCAGACCTGCCGGGCCGACAACACATCACACGGAGGGTCATCCCATGTAATTCCAAGGCCCTAAAAAGATCAAGGCCCCTTCTTTCTCTCAGAAGCATCAGGTCAAAGAGCAAACTTCAGATCAAGGGTGGAACACCTAACAGCTTCATGTGGAACATGGAAGGATATGGAAGAATGACTTTAGAAACATCTTTGAAGATCCTTCAAACCGAACGCATGAAGACTTTAGGTCTTTAAGGAGTCTACGGCGAGTCTACGGAGTTGATCCAGTCCAAATACCTTGCCTCTGGGACGCAGGGCGCGAAACCCTCGAGTGAGGGAAAGGGCCTGAGAACGGGGCATCTTTCGTCGATCACAAGGGCTCTACATGTCGAGAAACGTGCAAGTTTAGATGATGGACCATGACTCAGCAAAACTTATGACACGTCATAAGTCCCAATGATGTCTTCTTCTCTCAAGGAACTCGAGTCCACGCAGGTCTGGCAGTGTTTCTGTGCATGACAATTGTTGCATCACAAACACTCTTAGGCAAAAGCCATTTGTGACTGCGACCACCGATAATTGGCAGCCTAAATAGCAGGGTTGGGCGGCGCCAGCTGGGCTATTAGAAAATTTCATTTCTGATAGAACAGCTGCCAGTCAATGCCAGTCACCATTCAACACTTCTGAACCCTTCCCCATGAGTCTGGCCACATGATGAACCGGAAGCTGGAACAGGGGATGATGACGATGATGATGACGATGATGATGATGATGATGATGATGATGATGATCAAGAGGACATACTGAATCCATGTTTCTGCTGCCAGTAACTCAGGTCTCAGCGCAAGCTTCGGGCAATATTTTGTGGTGGGAGTGGTTGGGGTTTTGTGGAGGTTGTCTGAAGCCAAGGCAGCGGTGATGCGATGTTGTGCAGCCAGTTCGGGAGTGCACAAATCGAGAAAATTACCACCTGTGTAAGGGGAGAATGGGAAAGACAAAGTCACTGGCTCCAGTGACCCAATGCATGCCAAATCGCACTGATATCATGAGAATACTTTTTTAGACTTCAATCATGAAGACTTTCATTTCTTCGAGATACAAATTGAAGAACACAACATGACCATCGTGTAGGTGGTCATGGCATCCAACAAATACTACATCTACTACATTCTGGTGGCCAGGATGCGGTTCATGACCACCATCATGCTGCATTTTCTCGAGAAGACAACCATACACGTCTATGCCAACTGCAGTCTGAGCCTACTTCTGGCAGTCAAGGGCACCTATGAACAGCAACTGCCAATGCTCCGAATTGCAAAAGTGCAAAGATGTGCGCTGTAAATGGTGCGGAATCTGCGCAGGTCGGAGGTCGGAGCCACCCTGCTTCACAGGACATGCTCTTGAATTTCACCAGACCCGCGCGGTGTGAAACTACAAGACCAGCCGTTCCCCTGCATAGTCAAAGGTGTAGTTGAACCTGATGTCGCTTGCAAAACAAAAAAACAAAACAACACATGCATGTTCTACCATGTCATGATATGTTATGATATGTTATGCATGTTCTCAAAGCTCACTGGAAGTAGGATCGCTTGGCTGAGGTGAGGACTTGGGTCGCCCCAGAATGGCTGGGCTAGGGCTATGAATATCCAGGGATTCCTGGAGAAGAGCAAATCCTACCTTCAGCCGTCCTCGTGAGATCTGTCCCGAAATAGCTCGTTTCTTGGTTTCTCTTAGCCGTCGGTCCGCCGTTCTCACAGCTTGAAGGACCAATTAAATCCCAACCTGAACACGAGGCAGCCGCGGATTGGGCCTTGGGGTCTCATCTGAGTCTGCGGTGCTACAAAAACGGTACGTACAGGATGGATGGGGTTGCTGTGTCAGCAGGAACAGCAGCGAGACTGCAAGAATTCGATCGTCTGATTAAATTCACCAACATCTGAGACAGGTGCAGGACAATGATGCTGCGCCCATCCATAGTTCTGCGGAGCCTGCACAGAAGCTGCCCAATGGTGGCGATGGCTGACAGTGAGCGGCTTCGGCTAAGGCGGCTAGGGATTTCCAACAACCAATTCCACGGCGTACAGTACTTGACAAAAAAAGACTCTGACACAACTCATCTCAACTCTCGACTCTGTGCAACATATAAACACATATAAATATATTGCGTGAATTAACTCGGTGGCTTGACCATGGAGGTCCTTGCAAAACAACAGCATCACAGCAAAGATTCCTGGACTATTTGTGCTCTTTCACTCAGTTCCAGGCTCTGCTTTTGGGAACTTTGGCGCCGGAATCGTGGCAACGCCAGGAAGCGCTTTGGAACTGTTCTTGAAGTTCTTGGGAGCGCTTGAAGCGCTTGGTCGGCATTCAGGTTTTTCAGTAGACTTCTTCTCCCCCATCACTTCTGCATACCTCTTGGACATGTATCGCCTGGCCATCGGGTCCTGCATCATGATCCATTTGCAAACGCATCTGTGATTGCGAAGTGGACCATCTTTCTTGGCTGTAGCTATCACATCCTTAAGAATGTATCTCTATGCATCTCTTGGTTCAACTGCCCTGGTTATCATTTCATCTTCTTTCCAACATCAACTTGAGACACAACGTGGGGAACACAAAAATTGACCTCAGTTGCCGCTTCTGTCAAAAAAACAAGACCTTGGCCGGTTTGGCCACAGCGGAAGGCCGGTCCTCTTTGAGCACCTGCAGGTTGGCTTCGCTGAAGCTGTGGCCAATGCGGCCCAGCTGCTGAGCCCTTGGAGCTCCGGGAAAAACCCTCCACTCTTCCCACTGAAGAGTGGCTTTAGGCCGTTTAGGCGGTCTTTGGAGGCCTTTTTGGCCATTTAGCTCAGTCTAGATTTACCAGTTTGGAGACGCCAGCAGGTCCGGCAGCTCAAATTCACCACGGGGCACCGATCTCTGCCGCCATCTGACACTGTTTAACGCGGACGGTGTGGGATAGGGTTGTCCAGTCCACCGGGTCGGACGACGAATGGGTCGGCCAATCCACGCGACGAGCGCAACGAGCATCGACGGGACCGACCACCAAGCAGTGTAGAAGAAGTGAAACGTGGCGCACGGTGTAGGAAAAGCGACTGTTCAACTGTGCACGGTGTAGGAAAAGCTCTTTTTGGAACCTGCTTGAATCCGGTTGAACCCATGCACTCCTCAAGCCAGGCAGTTTTCAGAAGGCACAAAGTGTTTCACCAGGTAAGCCTGAGACAAGAGAGGTGACCACCTCTACCCGCATCCTGCCGCGCATCCTCCACTTGGAGCCCGGCACTCGTCGAGAATGCTCTGGTCCTAAACACTGAGCCTGGCGGATGTTGATTCTGGCTTTTGTTGTCAGAGTAGATCAACTGAAACGCACAGTGAATACTCTTGATGAGTATATAGATAGTAGGTGAGTAAATGTTAATCTTGATTGCACAACTTGGCTAGTGGTTAGTGAACACCAAAGATCCTCAGAAACCTGGAGTGAACGTGTCCAAGCTCCTGTAAGAACTTCCGCTCCTGGAAGTGCTTCTTGCCGAGCGGGTTGCCATCATAGAAGGTGAAGGGTGCAGTGGTTAGTAGCTGGCAAGCAGAATGTGTGACAGAAAGTATGGCAGGCAGAAAGGACTCCAGAATGTATGGCAGAAAGTGCAATTTGTTTCTACATGTTTCTACTACAGTTTGAATCTCCAAAGAGTTGAATCAACTCTGTATTGTACTTACAAAAGCACTCAAGTCTCCGTGCACTGCAGCCTGATCTGGACAAGGCACTTCAACTTGAACTAAGAAACTCGATTCTGAGCTGCCTTGGAGCGATTGTTGCCCCGAAGCCACCAGTCCTATAGATGTCATGGTGTGGCACAGCTCCAGTCAACAACCTTGTCCCTTTAGTCACTTTGGTCAATATGGTCACCGTTTCATTCTTTTCAATTAGTCACCTTTAGTCCTTGTTGCCGTGGCTTTGCTGATCACCTTTTCTTCAGGAAAGCCACGACATGTTTCCAAGCAAAGCAAAGCGCCCAACAGCAAAAATGCAACGATCAGCCTGTGCAATGAGCTCTCCTCATCTGGGATGGGCTCTCTGTTGTATCGCTCTCCAACAGGGGCCGCCTAGCTGTGCAGTCGCTTGTTCGCAAGGCCGAGCAATTTTGCGAAATCGGAGCAGAAGTGGAGAAATCGCATCGCTTAGAGGGTGCTCCTTTCTGGTGCCGGTGTTCCCGGGTCCATACTGTAAGAAACATAGTTTCGCCACATGCATGAGATGGCATGAGGCATGAGATGTTCTGGAGTTGCTACAGCACCCGGCCTCGCCAGTAGCTGGATGCCGCAAGGCCTCAGAAACAAGAGCCTTTTCCACTTGATTGATGGACTTGTCAAAAGGGTGATAGCACATGAGTGAGTATGGCAATGATCCCATAGATCAACCCTGAGCTGAATCACAAATGTGTTCCCATACATATGCCACATCATGAGATATTATGACCTGGTGAAAGTAGCAGAAACTCGCCTCGCAAGAAGCACGGTGAACTGTCCCTCATCCTGGATGAAATCGCAACCGCGTCATCGGAGGACATACTTCTTTTCTATCCTTTTCTAGGGTAGCCAGTGGGAATTGTTAACTCCAACCTAGTCCTCTATTCATAGCACGAAGATACAGCATGTGAACCGCACTTGACTCAACATTTGTCCATCCCACAAAAGGCCCTCCCAAGTGACAGCCCCGACCCCTCCAGAACCCCCAACCCTAGGGGCTCCATCTAAGTCGCAAGCACAACCGCTGCTTTTGCTGTTGGCAGTCTTGTCAGCCAACCACCTGAGGACTTTGACTTCACTGCCGATGTGAACCATTTCTGGACCCTCTCGTCCGGACGGTGCCGCTGGCCCCCTTCTCGTCCTCTCTTTCATCCGACGGAAACGGAAGCACCAAGATGGCACCTTCCCACGTGCGAAGAAGCTGCTTCGCCCAGGAGGCCCATGGCCGAGAGAGGTCGAGCTGTTCTTTGATTCAAAAGAGTCGGAGATGCAGCCTCATATTACGCGCTGGCATGTGGCATGTACTGATATTGATACTAGTATGTACTGCATCATGCATACATGTATATTGATGCATATTGCACCATCCAAACGGCATGAAGTGAAAGTGAAACGTGGACTCGACCCACAATGGCATGACGGGGCCACCTTTTTAATCCATTACATGGAATCAACCATGTAAAGCATCTAAAACCCGCGAAGGTGCAAGCAACTGCGCATGCAAAAACAGGCATGGGCGGCATGGGACAGTTCATGTTGAATGACTGCTCCGGATGCTATGCCGTAACTGCTACGGTCCGTAGACCGGACCTTCTTGATGGCCTCCCCTGGAACGGGAGCAGACGTGCAAACTCTATAGCACTGTGTCTCAGTGTCATCCACTTTGCACTAAAGTGGTTGGCCTCAAACGTCTTGGCACTGTAGCAAAGCTACATGCAGAGCTACGCGAGATGCTCACGCGGCACGCACCGCAGCAGTGCAAGCTTTGGTTTCTGTTTTGGATGGCAACCCATCGGATCGGGTGGGTAGGGTTGACTCAGTATAATAGGTCATGAGCAGCAAAGCGACAAGTGCGCTCCAGCCAAAACTAGGCAGGATGCTTGAACGTCAGCAATTTGGGCTGAAAAGCACATGAGCTCTTGGGCTGAGCAACATGAGTGTTGAGATCTGTTGAGAGTCAGCAGCCTAAACACCTTTTCTTTCTCCATACAACAGCCATCAACAGCCTGTCCATCTGTTGCAGTCTTAAGAATTCCCTCGCGCAAAGCATTTTTGGCTGCTCTTAGAGTCATTGTCAGGCCTGAGAAACACCTACCAGCGTGCCCAGTTGAAAAAATGGATAAAGCTAAAGCATATGGTTGGACAACTCAGCCAATTTCTCCAAACTTGTCTCGAAGAGGCTCTTCGAGAAACCGAGCCTTAGTCCAGGGCAACACACCTAAACACACACCGCGTCTCAAACAAACATTCAATATCGGAATTAAGAATCAACGTGGTGCCTGAGATGACGGCTGCTGATGAAAGTTCTTCCATGTCCCTAAAGAGACCTGTCCCAACGAATTCTCCTACACTTGGAATTATTCTCTTCTCAATCTGCTGCTCCCAAGTCAATTCCACATGAGTATGGGCCCAAACAAACCTCAAAAACCTGGTTGACCTACTATGTTGACCCCAAGAGGAACCAAAGAAACTACCAAGCCATGTCACCATGATGGCATGGACGAAAAACCGTCGGTCGCCACCGGGAGACCGGACCGCTTCAACCACCTTCCCTTTGGCAGTAAAGAGGCGAAGGACATCAGAATACCTGCAGCGTCGCTTTGACGCAAGCGCGGGAGTTGGTGACTGGACCCAGGGGACATCTTTCTTGCTTGGAGTGTCAAAGTAGCCCGGGCCGTTTACGCTGTGACACATTGGGGATCTGGTCGGATTGTAATTCTTCGAAACATGGCTGAGTGTCGTGCTCACATGGGGCTACATATTCTTTACTTTTGGATACTTTTGGTACACACAGCTGGCTGATGAAGGAAACGTGGACCAAACAAGTATTGGCACCAAGTTGTGAGAGGCGCTGCACCGTTTTCAGCTGCTCTCTGAGGAAGTTGAGCCATTGCTGATTGCTGTCTGAACTCTGTGCCTTTTCAAGCCATGCTTGAAACAAAAGACTTGATGCAAGTTGGCTTGGAAGGGTCCATGATGGAATCTGGCATGTTTGCTAGTGCGGATCTAGCGAAGTGCTAGCGCACGGCTGGGGCAGTTTTTAGCCAGCTACTTTTCAAAACCTGACGACCTTCTGAACATGTCCTAAGTCAAACACTAGCGCAAGTCTACCGCAAACTTAGCGCCCAGCTGCGGAATAGGTGTGCTTAGCTGGGGCCCGCTACATAACAAACAGCATCATAAAGCTACTTCCGACCCCTTTATCATATAATTTGTTTGATTATAGACTTTTGGCCGGTCATGATTCAGGTCCCCCCAAAAGATCCACGACTTTGCCCAATCCCCCATCTGTGACGGTTTTGTACTCACTGAGTCAGCCCATCCGTTGAGCCCCTGGCGTGCTAGCCACAGGTGCCACACGCGCCTCACGCATTGCCACTAAGGCCTCGTTCGGTGGCGCGAGGGAAGATCTCACATTGTCTCCATGAGCCCATCAATCCCCCAATTGAGCCATGTTTTTTCTAAGATTAAAAGCCTATACACTGCTGGGCTGCCTACGCTGGTGGTTTCCAGGGCCAGAATTTGTGAAAGAGGTGGCTTCGTGGGGCTTCGTGCAAAACTATTGGGGCTTCGCGAGTTGGCTTCGGCCAGAGGCTTCCAGAGATTTCACCACACATTGCGGTTGATCCAAACTCCTTCTTAGGGAAACGCCATTCTTCGCGAAACAAATCTTGACCTTCGCGAATCTTAACTTGCGCAGGGTATATGTCCTAGAAGTCTACTTGCTAGTTGTGTCCAAACACCTATCTTTTGCAGATCTTGTGCGGAAAAATAACTCGGGGGAAAAACACAAACTTTGCGAACAACATAACAGGCTCTTGATCTTGTAACCAACTACCACATAATGTGCCACTTCTCGGTCACTTGGAGACGTACTGTCTAATTGAAAAGTGATCCTTCAATATCCTTCAATCATAAAAAGTGCTACTCAATTGTCATGGAAGTCAAGGTCTTCTACGAGGACACACATCACATGTTTCTTTTTCATCCCTTTTCAGGAACAACGCCATTAATATGATTGAACGTTTTCCCAATAGGGTGTCCTTGCTACTCACTGGACCTCCTTCACCTGTTGAGAGGCACTTGCTTTCCATAATATCATAACATTCAACGAATGTACCTCAAATGCTGGACTAGATCATTACTCTACCAAGCTTCGTGGTCAACTTTGATTCAAGACGTGCACACGACTCACGACTGGAAGGTGGTTTATTTCAGCCATGCTCTTAACGTTTTCAGGTGTGATGTCATCGTCCATTTCCTGCTTCCCCCCGTCATGTCTGGGAATCTGAAATCCCTAGGAGCGTGACTGACAGAACTAACTCCCATCGGCTTCGGCAGGCACGCACCTCAGCACTCCGCATAGCCGAGGCTTCGTGGCGAATGGTCAGAATTCAGAAAGGCCGGCTATAGAAGAGTGAAGATTTAGACATGCTTGCTTGCAGGCTGCAACTAGCCAGTGTGAAAGAATGGACAGGACTGCCTACACTAGCTTTTAAGCTTTTTGGTGTCAACAATCACTGGTAGTGACCAGGTCCAGCACAGCACTCGCGAACACCCGGCCATCGGTCTGCTTCTGCTGGAGAGATTCCTGGAGATGGCGGTGACAGGTCTTTCACCTGCTGAACAAGTAAAAGTAATGTGAAACTTGCTCCTAAGGCTCCCAATGTCCCTGGTGTTTTTTAAGGCAACACCCAAGCATTCGATATCCGCAGTTGAAGCCTTTGTTTCAAGCACCCATTCGGAGATTGAGGCTTCGGTCACCATCTGTCCGGTCCTCCAAAAGGAGCAAAGCGTATTCCCATTCAGGGCCTCCACCAACAGCACAAGATGCCTGAGCGCACAAAATGGCACAAGCGGCCAACAATCAAGCTCGGCAGCTTTGGGGTCATCATCCTCTTGTTTTCCACACACCTGCGCACCTGGTTGTCAACCGGAGCTTTCCGCCAGCTGGTGACTAATTAGTGGAATCATCTGATGACTCCCAAAACGCATCGACATAATGTCTTCAGTTCATAGGAACTTGGCCAATGCTGTCTATACGTGTATCATCATTGCATACTGTCCAGTCGCCTTCTTCTGACTCGAAGCGGCATGCAATGAGCAAACATGTGCATCCTCACAGTCAACCACTCGACTCCACACCAGCACCACAGCAGGCTTCCGCACCACAGCAGCTCCGTAGGTCTTTGAGGTCGGACGAAGTTGCCGCCTCAGCAGCGGTCTGAATCACTCCATCCAGATTTACGAAGCTACAAGCTTAGAATGGATCTGCCAAAGTGCGAAATCTACGCGTATCAAGACAAGACGATAGAATCTATAGTATATATATATATATATACATGTCTATACTATATAAAACATATTCACAGTGGCCTGATGTTCTAGATCCTGAGGCAGCAGCTCCTTCAATTTGACAAGCAGCTCCAACGTCTGACAGTCGTGCTCTGAAGGTTTCCGTGTCCCAAGTCCCAAGATGTTCTCTGCGATGTTTGAAACAACATGAAACAACTGTTTGAAACAACATCGCGGACCGGTGTGCGTCTGTGTGATGGTGTCATCCCTCAGTGGCCGGATCAAATGCTTTGCGGAAGGCCAGTGTGCAGCGCCTGAACCCAAAAACTACACTTTGCACAGGCTGCCATGGCTGAAGTAATTGCATCCGACGAAACCTCAGCTTCACAAGCAATGGCCAGGTGACACTCTAACCAATCACCAAGGCTAGAGTCGACTTGGATGAATGATACCGATGCTTCCTCATATACCGATGCCCTTGAAGATATAATGTTTGGATTTAGAGGTTTGGATCATTTTTTCTCAAGTCCAAACGGATCAACTTTGTGTGCAAAGCTTCGTGCCCAGTTCTCCTCAGCTGCGCCTGAAAGTGCTGTGAAGAAACGGTCTCAGCTTTGGGAGCTGGCTTTGGCTGGCTGGAAATGTCTCAAGGGCACTCTAATAGCAGAAATGAATCAGTCTTCAGAATCCATGAGCCTGATAGTAGAAGGTGCAAAGGAGGTGACATCTATGATTTCTGGTCTCAACAAAGCTAGTAGCAAGGTGCATCGCTACTAGTAGCAAGAAGCTACTAGTAAGTAGCTTCTGGCACCGCCACTAGGAACAAGAAGCTACTAGTAACAAAGGGCATCGCTACTAGGGTGTCCAAGCCATGTTGAGTCTTTTGCTTTGTCGACGGTTGGACATGCCACATCAGGCCACTTTTTGAGCATCAGGTCACCCGCCTTTGTCCATTTCGACCAGCAGCCAGAGG